TTGGAAGGCTTTTTGGGGAAGGAGGTGTCATACACAGGGATTGTTTGCTTGCATAACTTAATGGAAGAGCAGAGATTGATTGACATTATAACAAATTTCCTTTATCCACAATGTTAAACAGACTTTGTGAAAACATAAAATTCAGCACTAAATTCCTTTCCCCTTTACATTATTTCTTTGTTTCATGAAATCTCCAATCTTAGTCTTTTAAACAGTACCTGAATTTCTTATATAAAGAAACAAGCAGGGAATTTTTTACGTTTCTTTATACAACATGAAAAGGTAGAACAGAATGACTAACATCATTAAGTTAAGGTCTTTATCTTGACTGAAGTTTTTTCTTAAGTACTTTAAATACTGTATGTGGTTCAGCTTTATGAAGAGGATGTTTCTGCTCCCAGTGAATTCAATGGTTGTTTTGCCATGGTCCTCTGGGAGAGCAGATTTGGGCAACACAAAGGCAATTTCAGATAGTTCAGGTCCAAAGTTTGGGTAAATGTTTACACAAACACTGTGACAAGTTTCAGGGGGGTAGTTGTGTTTCAGCAAAAACCACAAGGAATCCTGTGATACTTTTAAAGACTAAAACATGTATTTGGGCATAAGCGTTTATGGAGTAGAGCCCACTTCCTTGTTTTTGCCAAAATTAACATGAATTTCTAAATTTAATTTCACAAATTCTTAATTTATCAATTAAAACAGTCTTTAGTTGAAGACTAGCTCTCCCCGCCCGTCCCCCCCTCCCCGAATTTTTTTGCAACCAAATCATTGCAGTATAGAAACAAATCCATTGTTTAAACTGTTGGAAGGATGAAAAGCAAGCAGAAATGTTGCTGTGAATTAGAGACTTAAACTGATTGTTTCTAAAACATAAATCCCTACAAAGTTCTTATTTTAATAAGATTTGTAAGGCTTTTAAAAATGTCAGTCCTTCAATTTTTCAATATTTTATTGTTTTTTATTAACAGATTCTGTCAAAAGATCAGAAAGAACCATGGTGTGCATTCCTTGTATTGTCATTCCAGTCTTGCTATGGGTCTATAAGAAATTCCTTGAGCCATATGTGTACCCTATAATTTCACCTTTCATTAAGCGCATATGGCCTAGGAAAGCTGTGCAGGGAACACTGGCCACTGAACATGGCCAAGGAGACAGTACTGGAACTGTGCTGGGGACTTCAACCACAAATCTAGGCCCAAGAGATGATTCTGGAACATATAAGGTAAGCAATATATTTTAATGCACATTAGAGGAGGGAAACAGCTAACAAGGAAATCCCAAGTAGAGTTCTCTATAATAATCCAACCTGGAAGTCACAAGGGCATGAAGGATTGTTTTGGGGGAAATTTGTATATGACAAAAAAGTTGTTTAACTAGGCTTTCTCAAATATGAAGAACAGTTACCCCAAATCAACCTCTGAGACAGAGCGAATAGAAACATCCTAGAATGGCATTGTGTATCTTGGCTATATCTAATAGTTAAGAGTTTTACTGACTCCTTTCTTTTCCATAAGAAAAAAATCAGTAGTTAAATCTTAAATGACAGCTCATATGAAGCTGAAAGAAGTCAGTTTCCTGTACTGGTTCTGCTGTCCCAATAAACAGTTCTGTGTTTACCGATAAAAGAAAACGCTTGAAATGTGTTTTCTATAGTAACTTTTTTGACCATAATTTCACTCTAATATCCAAATAAATGGACATGCTCTTCTATATAAACTTTTTCTCTATCCTTTTAGAAAGTAAGAATTGCATATAAGCCTTACCTGACTTCCTTAAATTTCAGTCTGTTAGTACAAATTTCTCAGAACTGGTGTAGATGCTCATTCTTTCCTCCACAGCTAAACTCTGGATTCTGAATGTGAAGATTTTTTTTCCTTTGATATTGGTTAATGGTACTATCTCTTATTTCTCATTTCAGATTGAAAGCAATGGGGTTGCAAATGGAATTACTGCAAAGGGACCCACAGAAGTTTCCGACAAGAAAACTGATTAAAGGAACTTTGTTCATTAGGAATTTCTCTTTGCTGTTCTATGTGAACTGATGCTACTGTTCCCACTTTGAGATTTGGTGGCCCTTCTGCCTGAAAGGAAGCATGAGTTGTTTGTAGCAGAGAGTTTCCTTTGCCACTGAAATGGATGAAGCAGCTTTCTATTTAAAATGTTTGAGAAGTTGTTTTAAAGTAGTCTTATTTCTAATTACATTTTCCTCACTGAAAATCTCTGCATTTCTAATTCAGATTATATGGTTAGATATCCTAGACTAATTTATTTTTATCAATAAATGAATCTTTACATTGTAAATATGTCAGATTTTTAGGGTTGACTTGTAATGCATCTAATATTCATGCATTTTACAACTGTCCCTGAAGCTCCAGTTTCATTGCAGCTTTCTGCTTTGCTCTTCCAACTGCATGCAAAAGGTTGGGGTTTTATTCAATATAGTTTGATGGAGTAACATGTTAGAGATTAGTCAATCATTTGCTGTAAGAGCTATAACTCTCCCTATCCCTTCTAAAGGTGTTATAGATTGCACTGAAACCAGCATGTGTCTTGGAAATGGTATAAAGACTATTTATAAAAATGGATCTTCACCTGGTAACCAGTAAGCTAAAGTAAGTGCAATTTTTACAGGATTTATTTAGTTTATTGGAGGCAGAAAGCAAGCCTTGCAGAATGGCAGGGACATAGCATGAGAGAAGTACAGTTTTGTGCAAGGTGCAGTAGTTAAGATGTCAGAATTGTAAATTTCAGAATGAGTCCAGAAATCTGTTTAACCGGTTTGTGTAACTTATAATTAAAACAACCTGGCACTTTATTAAAAATCTTAATAAATGTTTGTAGTTTTATTTTCTGTTTGAGACTTTTCCGTTCCAAGAACTAAAATTTAAAAGTTCAGGAGAATGTGCACAGGGATGGCATCTTAATTGCTTGCTTTCATAGAACACTAGAACTGTAAGGGACCTTGATAAGTTATCAAGTCCAGTCCCCTGCCTTCATAGCAGGAACAAGCACCCTCTAGACCATCCCTGATAGATGTCTATGTAACCTGCTCTTAAATATCTCCAGAGATGGAGATTCCACAACCTCCCTAGACAATTTATTCCAGTGTTTAACCACTCTGATAGTTAGGAAGTTGTTCCTAATGTCCAACCTAAACCTTCCTTGCTGCAGTTTAAACCTCAGACCATTTCTCCAGTTTGGTCAGACCTCCAAAGGAGTTGCAACTCTCCCAGCTTGATATCATCTGCAAACTTAATAAGCATACTGTCGTCTGTCTTCATCTAAATCACTGATGAAGATATTGAACAGAACCGGTTCCAAAACAGACCACTGCAGAACCCCATTTGTTATGCCCTTTCAGCATGATTGTGAACCATTAATAACTGCTCTCTGAGAATGGTTATCCAGCCAGTTATGCACCCACCTTATAGTAGCCATGCCATATAAGTTGCATTTGCCTAGTTTGTTGATAAGAAGATCATGTGAGACAGTATCAAATGCCTTATTAAAGTCTATGTATACCACATCCACTGCTTCTCCCTTATCCACAAGACTTGTTACTCTATCAAAGAAAGCTATCAGATAAATTCCTTAATTACTTGTTCCATTATCTTCCCTGGCACAGAAGTTAAACTGACTGGTCTGCAGTTTCCTGGGTTGCTTTTATTTCCCTCTTTATAGATGGGCACTAGATTTTCCCTTTTCCAGTCTTCTGGAATCTCTCCTGTCTTCCCTGATTTTTTTTCAAAGATGTTAGATAAAGGCTCATATCTCCTCTATCAGCTCCTTGAGTCCTCTAGAATGCATTTCATCAGGCCTTGGTGATGTGCAGACATCTAACATCTATTTTTTAAGTTTTTTTTTTTTAATTTTAGTCTGTGTACAAGACACATGGGCTGTGTCTAGACTGGCCAGTTTTTCTGGAAAATCAGCTGCTTCTCTGGAAAAACTTGCCAGCTGTCTACACTGGCCACTTGAATTTCCGGAGAAGCACTGACAATCTCATGTAAGATTGTCAGTGTTCTTGTGGAAATACTATGCTGCTCCTGTTTGGGCAAGAGTCCCAGATTTTCAAGGAGTAACTGTTCTTTCCTAGCTGCTTTTCAGCATCTGTACATTCTAGGTCTCACCAATTCTTGGCAAGCTAAGCCTCATTTAATCAACTCTCTCCGCCCTCATTCCTCATCCAGACACAGCCTGGGCAGTTAATTGGCCTGCCTGGATACCTTATCTCCTAATCTTGTGAGAGGTGGAAACCCTATCAGTTAAGTACTGTACAAACATACAACAAATGGTCCCACCCAAAATTAATTCTTATTGTGTAAATAAATTATCACTTACATATTTTACTTATGTCCAAAGGCAGATTATTTTGATTTGCACCTACACTGTCCATTTGTAGTGAGGTTAAAATGGTCTGTTGTATGCATTTGCAGTACTCAAATTTTATATATACCTTTGTATATATAAGATTAGATTCATGTCACTATGAGGGTTTTCATCTTCATCTGATGCATGTATTGATGGGCACGATAGAAAATCTTAAAATAAATTGCTAGATAGCTATATGTACACATACCGTATATTGCCTGTAGCAGGGTGACCTGATAAGCCAAGAGTCTGATGTAGTATGCCAAATCCTATGTTCCTATCTCTGTAACAGTTGCTTTTCATTCAACTTTTTATATTTATCTGAGTTCCCATTAATTGAAAGCACTGTACTATTCTCAGAAAATGAATTTAGGCCAAGACATTAAGGAATATCCCAGAATATCTCACAAGGCAATGAGAAAAGCCTTTAGCTATAAGCAGATAACTGCACTTCAATATTATAGTTCTGTTTCCAGTCTTATATGAAAGAGGTGCCTTATGTGTTCATGAAAGGACCCAAGTTCTGTGAGTCAAGCTTACAAATGCATCAATGTAAAGGGTACTGTATATGAACAATAATGATCCAATAACTGAAATCTAAAACAAATAGGTACTGACTGGTGGAGTCACACCACACTAGTGTGTGGATACTTCAGATCTTATACACTAAGCATGGATTTGATCAGTTAGCAAGTAGATATAGACAACCAAAGAACACCTGAATCTTAGGGGTGTGACTTAGTATGTAATATTTACAGTATTGTAGTGCTGTTAGTCCCAAATACTAGAGACACAAGGTGGGTGAGGTAATATCTTTTATTGGACCAATTTAAAGCAAACGAAAGATTTCCTTCACTCAGCACACAGTCAACCTCTGGAACTCCTTGCCAGAAGGTGTGGTGAAGGCTAGGACATTTAACAGGGTGCAAAAAAGAGCGAGATAGATTCATAGAGGTTAGGTCCATCAGTGGCTATAAGCCAGAATGGATTGGAATGGTATCCCTAGCCTCTGTTTCTCTGGAGGTAGGTGACAAGGGAGGGATTATGTGAGGATTACCTGTTGTGTTCTCTTCCTTTGGGGCCAGGGGTGGACTGGCAATCAAAATAGTCCGGGGAAATGGGTTGAGAACAGCCCTCCCTGTGACATCACCCCTGTGTGCCCCTCCCCCTTTCCCTGCATCCAAGGCCGGCTCTAGGTTTTTGCTGCCCCAAGCAAAAAATCCCGCCCCCACACCGTTTTTGTCTGAGGAGGATGCACGCGCAAATGCAATTTGCATGGCTTGCTGGGGGGTGGGGTGCGCGCTTGGGGGAAGTCCAAACCCTGGGGCATTTTCATCTTCTAGGAGAGCACCAGGGGCTCCCCATGTGAGGACAATTGGAGGGCAGGTTCATCCACAGCAAGTCAAAGACTTCCAAAGCATGCAGCTGTTCACACCACCTAGTGCTGGAGTCCCGGTCCCAATCCTCACTCTGCAAAGGGATTTTATTATTAGAAGCCTTATAATCATTCAGACTCCAACCCCAACACATAAGCTGTCCAACTCTTGGTGTCCATGGACAAGAATCAGCCTCACTATACAATGAGACAGTTCAGCTCAACTGTCCAGAACAAGACAGGCACCAGACAACAAAACCCACTAGCCTAGTACCTAGTCCATGAGAGCAGACCTGTGCTTTCTTCTTCAGGGACAGACCAAACAGCCTCTGAAGCAGGGTAGATTGATTTAAATAGCTTTGATTTAATCTCTAATTTTAATCATGATTTAAACCGGCAAGCAGAAAACCTTGGTTTAAATGAGCAATTAATCATTTAAATTATACTTTTAAAATATTTTCCTAAAGGATGGTTGAGTCTTATTGATTAGCAACCTTTAAAACATGTTGATTTACAACTAAATATAAATTTTATGCCAAACTCCATCACTACCTTCCTCATGCCCACCCCTTCTTTCAAGCCTTTTCCCAGCACTTCTCCCTTCCCCCTTTAGCCCTCAGTGCCCTTACTCTCTCCTCTCCCAGCATCACCCTATCCCCCCTCCCACTGACACCTCCCCTCCTGCCCTTTTCCTCATTGTCTCCACTTGTTCCCATGGCATTTGTCTCTTCTCCACCCTGTCCCTTGGTGCCTTCCCCTTTCTTCTCCTGACCTGCCTCCCTCCCCTCAGCACAAGCCCTTCCTGTCCCACTCCTTCCCCCTATTTTCCTCCTTCCCTTCCCCCACCTTCTGCCTTCCAGTTTGTGGGGCTGGAGTCTGTGATCGGGCCCGAGAAGTCCCCTATATCCATAGTTAATTTAACAGATCAATTCTCTTCATCATGTTCTTCAAGATGTTAGAACTCTCTCGTAACCAGTTTTTTACTGACAGAAGAGGAAAACCAGTTTTTCTGCTTCGTCAACTCTTGGTTTTGCAATGGTGAATGAACTAATCATTGAACTGAACTAGCTGAATAAACCAAAGTGATAAAAACATTCTCTCTTCACCTGCAGAAGAAGATACTGCTGATGTAAACACTGGTTCCGGGTGCTTACACAGCAACTTACACTAATGAACTGGTAGAATTTCTTTAAAAGTTGACAGGAGACATGTTGTATTGAATTTTTAAATTTAATTCATAAGTTATTTAAATAGGTTATGATAAATTTAGGCCATAACAATTTTAAATTTAATTTTAAAGGTATATTATTTAAAACAAAGCCTATTTAAATGGGTCCAGACAAGAAGGGACTTGGGGATACGGGCAATGGGAACACCAGAGTTTCCCTTCCTCAGACAAAGGGGGAGGGAGAATCACCTGGGTCCCAGGCAGGGGTGAGGTTGTCAGGACACAGCACAACGGGGCTGGGAGAGGGTTCAGGGCCCTGAGAGTAGGGGGAAGAGGAATTGTTTAGAGAGCCAGACAGGAGAGGGGGATCCAGGTGGGAGGCAGGGGCAGGGGGGTGGGGGAAGAAGAGAAGACGGGGTTCCAGCAGGGTTGCAGTGGGTCAGGAGGTGGGGTGC